CCGCTTTAAATTGGCTATTTTCTAATTTTTTCATTAAGCAATAGGTACTAATAGACAACGGGATATCCAATCACCATATGAAACTTATCAGCGTTAAATACAAGAGCATATTAATTATCGTTATGTAGTACATATGTATGGTATCTCGATAATGAGGGATAATAATTTTCTGCTCACCAAATGCCGCTAGTTGACACTGAGGTAAAGTTTTTTTGTTACGCAATGTAATTTAATTGAGAAGTTGTTTTTTTATAAAAGTTTATCAGCTTCTAGAGTATTATATTAAAACACAAAACAATACCTCAGTGGTTTGATCTTTAATTTTTTGCACATTTTAACTTTTTTTTTTAATTTTTCTATTTTTATGAATATCTGTGGTTTGGTTTATTAATTTTTAATGCTATTAATATAAAATATAGCTAATAGTACAAAAAGAAACAATAACTTACATTTTCAGAACAAATTAATTTCCCCGCTATGAAATCTGTCAAATATTATACCTCACTTTCTAGTGGCGACACATGGTGGCAGAAAAAGTGGTGAACGCCCTCATTGCTACGTTGTATACATAGAAGTCTGATTACAATAAATATCTTGTTGCTGGATGTACGTTTAGTAGATTCTATGGTACAATAGAGTCCGTAAGTAGTAATAAGTCTATATATATTTTTTTTTTTTATCAATCGAATTGAAAACCGGAAGGAAGTTAGCGTAGAATATTATTTTTTTAAATTAAAATGTATACCAATTGATTGTTCTTTAAACGTTCTCTTAGAGTCAATAATTGCTCTAATTTTGTTGCTATTTGTTAATTTCTACGTGGTAGAGCCATGCTGCAGCTATATTATGGTTGTAGCACGAATGGGTCGGCTTGAACGGGGAAGGACCACGCTCTCACAGAAAACCAGCGTAAAATAGCAGCTTAACGCTGCTGTGTTTCGTATTGTGAGTGTAGAGAACCGGAGACCCTTTTTACTGGCAAAGAGGCATTCCATCTTAGTCCTCACGGGTGACAACGCATCTGCATCTTGAGTCTTTATTGAGGATAGATGTAGATGTCTATGGGTCACAGTAACCACTTACCATCAGGTGGACTGTGTGCTCGTTTGTCACCCGATCGTATTAAAAAAAAATTGTAGTTAATTAAAAAAAAAACACTTCGAAAATTAATAATCGAATAGCATAGATTGTGTATAATGTAAATTTACAAATTGTTATTTTAAATAAACGCTGCTCTGACTCATTGAGCTTCAAATTACATCCTTTGTTAATTTTTTTAATACCGCCATCTACTACATTCTATACTCGTAGGTAGGGTCATTTTAGATTTAACGTAGAGTTGATGCTAGATGGTTTAAACCATAAAAAAAAAATATTAATCGTTAAGTTTTGAAATCATGCATTGTTATGAATGGATTGGATAAATACACAATCTATGCTATTCAAAAGTCATTGATGAATAATTGAAATGTTTCCCTGTAATACAAAAGTTTAACTTCTATCGTGAGTCTTCACGACACACACTGTTTTTATATTAATTACTAGCTGTGCCCGCGGCGTAGCTCGCGTATATAGGTTTTACTTGGAGAATTTGACATTCAGGTAAGAAAATATTAAACGATTTATATCATTACTCTATCAATATCATTTATTAGACGTCAGTGTAACAGACGTCTCTGGTTAGTGCGTATATACACTAAGCGCTCCGTCTCTATTTTCGCATACATGTCCACTATAAATTGGTAAAACAACCCCCGAAATCTTTGCAGATACGCAAGAAGATATATGCCTTACATGTAACAGGTGCGAATAAAATTGCAGAGCAAATATTTTTTTATTAAAATTGGTCTCTCTGGTATTAGGATTAACTTGATAAATTCCGAAATTGTACCCATTTTCACCGTGACAATATATTAATGGATATTGTAGAGCATCATAATATCGATGCGTTTCATAAATCCCTGGCAGTCGATCGTCATGTGTGTGCAACACGATGTCACGTCTATCGCACTCCTGGTCAACTAATACCACTGCCACTTCATCAGTGACAGGAACGTTGCTACCGCGGTGTTCAGTAACTTTTTTTAGTAACAGGACGCCTGTCTGCGTTAATAACTATTTTATAATTGTTTATTAAATCTTGACAGATCGATTGCAATGCAACCCTAAAACTATGAACGTATGGATTTATTTCATGTAGCACCCTTTGAAGTTGGGATATGAGTTCGCTATTGACTTGTGGGAAGTTGTGATTTCGGATATTAGTATGTTCATTATAATCTGATACAAAATAAATTGACTATTTTACTTATATATACATATATATTTATAACTCATAATATATAGTTATTTAATTTAATTTATTAAGTTGAAATTGAAATTGAAAATATATAATATTTACATTGGTTCCGCGTAATGTATGGTTATTTGTGAGACTGACTGCACGTCAGTGAGTCTCAATACGATTCGAAGTATCTTAACGCCGCAATTCAGAAAAGAATGTAATTTGTACAACGCCATCTATTACGTTCGTTGTGAGAAAACGTTTTTAATTTAAGGAAAACATCTTTTTTATTGTTTACTTTGTTTTAAGTATAAATATATTATTATAGAACGTTTTTTTACACACAAATCTTTTTATTACTTTTTCTGAGATTTTATGGCGCCATTGAACAAATTAGAACATTATAAAATAATAATCATAACTTTCGATAGAATTAACCAAATTTAATAAAACAAAAATTAAATGTAACTTGAAGATACGCTTTATGATATTCTTAACGATTTCTTTTACTTTAGATGTGATGCGTTTATAAACAAACAGACAGACAGACAGACAATTCTAAAAATTATAAAAATGTGTTTACTTAATTATTTTCATTTCCCTATAATGATTTTAGTGACAAATATTCTATACAATGTACAAAAACAGACACAACATGTTATCACCATTTTTATTATAAGTATATATTTAAAGAGAGATGGCGCTGCTAACAGCAATCATCAATTCTAAAAATAAAAGAGATTAATTGACGCGATTGGTACATTATTATATAAAACATAAAAGAACTTATAAACCAGTGTCTGCATAGTAAGCAAAACGCCTTTTTATATTACATTTTGACCATACCGCCATCTATCGATGAAATTGGTTAACTATTTCACTTTAGATTTAGTTAATAAGTTTATGATATATTTTTTGTATATTATTTTATTTAATACGTTTTTTAATACTTTTGTTTACTGCATTTTAGATATAATTATATCATTATAGAACATTATTTTACCTAATTTAATTATGATTTATGATATAGTATTAGTTTAAAATGCACTTGATGACTCAACCAACGCCACCGTTGAACAAACTCGTACCTATACTTCGTATTCATACTTCAGAATATTTATCATAACTTTTGATTGAATGAACTGATTTTAATAAAATAAAGACTAAATGTAACACGAAGATATACTTTATATTTTCCTTAATGATTCTTATGATATAAATTAGTACTTTATACGTGATACGTTAACAAACAAACAGACAGACAGACAGACAGACAGACAGACAGAAAATTCTAAAAATGGTAGAAATGTATTTAGTTACTTAGTTTTAGTACCTCTCAATCACTTTTATTACAAAAATATAAAATGTACAGACGTCTGCTTTTTACATTTTTATTATATGTATAGATTATAAATATTGCAATAATATAATAATTTTGTTTTTAATTATTAATAGAGCAAATTGAGAGCAATTCTTTAAGCAAAAAATAATAATAATAATTATAAATTGACAAATTGTAATAGACGTGGAGCAATTACGGATTCTAAGAAAGCATTTAAGGAACAATTAATTGGCATACAGTTTAATTTAAAAAAGGAGATGTTTGTTTTATAGCAAAATTTAATTTTCGAAAAGTGATTTTTTTTATTTATTATAAATTAACTAATAGTACCTAATAGACGTAGGGCAATTAAGGGCTCTAAGAGCATTTAAGGAACAATTAATTGGCATACAGTTTAATTAAAAAAGGAGATATTTTATGTTTGATAGCAAAATAAAATTATTGTTTGAGTTCTGTTCTGTAGATAATCATTTATTATTTAAAGAAAAAATATCACATTAACAGATAATAAACGAAATTAAAAAGTGTTATTATATTTTAATTGAAAACAACGCCATCTATGTAAGCTAAACGTTATGACGACCTGAAGCCTGTAAATATGGTATGGTATGTTGCTGTCTTAGGATATATTTCACACGAAACACATTTGGAAAATATATTAAACGTGACTGCACATTTGTTATCTTGTTAAACTATAACTTAACAGTGTGAACAGAACAACATGGTGGTATTTGGTTTATTTTTAAATATATAATTTTATTGCACTTAAAAGTATGATTATAGTGATTGACGATTGTGTAGGTCAGTAAATTGTACATAAATAAGTTGTAGTAGGTGTAGGTTCGAATCCTAGCTGGAAGTACGTGGTAGAGCCATGCTGCAGCTATATTACTGGTATAGTTGTAGCACGAATGGGTTATCCCACAATTGCATGCACTATCTCTGTCACCGATAACCACTACACTAGGAAAGGCACACCACCGTCAACAATACAAAGATTTATATCTGTTTTAACCGAGTTCGTGAGTTGAAGTGGACGTACTCGTATTACGTTTTTAATGTCAACTTCCACAAGAAAGACGTTTGAAGTTGTTATGAAAAATATCTTTATTATAACTTTATTGGAAAAAAATAACTACTCTCTTTTCAAATATGATTCTACTACGATATTTTAAGCAAAGAATATATTATTTCTACGTACTTTAAGTACAAAAAATTAAAACGTAAGCTAATATTCGAAGGTTGAAAAAAAAATTAAGTACGGTCAAATATTAGATTTCGCAACCTTTATCGCGATGTATTAAAGTCCACTTTCGCATCGCGCGCGTTAACCGTCGCATAATTCATTTTAATCTAGAGCACTCACAGTTGCAGGTGCAGATGATGTCCGCGGTGAGCGGGGAGCCTATGCTGCGCCGCGTGAAGCAGGAAGCGGAACCGCCGCCCCAGTACTCGCCAGAAACGCTCGCGGAGCACCCGCCTCACCGCCCTGTACCAATGGTACATGCTCCCCAGGTGAGTGTCCAGCCTTATCTTGTCCTTAAATATACCCAATGGACTAAATTGGTGATTCGTCACCATTGCACGTAAGCATCGCTCAGTCGGACACTAGATTGTACGTTGTAGGACAGGGATGCATTCTCTCTTATGAAGAGGGGCACAGACTGAAAATCAATAACTAGGTTACAAGGCGAAATGTTAGTGTGTCAGATTTTAAACCTAGGTTTTATAGCACGTCCTAGATTTATTAAATTATATTGTAATTAGTGAGCTGTATTGCGTAGAAAAATACTCAGGTGTGTTTTCGTCGTTAATTGTTTATTTAAAAGGTAATTTAATTTAATTATTCACCATAAACACTTAACGTGATCTTCGTTGCAATTTCAAGTGCATAAATTATATTGCATTTTTTAACAGCGAATTAGAGCACTTTAATTTCTGGGTACGTATCCCTTATTAACTTCCTTCTGCGTAGCATTGAAAGGAAGTTAATGGTTTTAGCTGGCAGTCTGTTAGTCTGTATGCCGACACGATAACTTCCGTTCCACTGGACCGGTTGACTTTAAATTTGGTATCTGGATACCTTGAGGTCGACTTTGAATTTGGGTCCTGTAGGTCAAAGGGCACCAGAGATATGGGATTCACGCAGAAGGAAGTTGTTTTTCTTGAATTTACATTCAACTCGTTTAGATATGAAATACACTTTGTATTGTAAATTTTCGACAGCCATCGAAAAAGGTAACCAACTGAGTGCATGAAGATGCATTTATCCGCTCACCTGCTTCGTCCTGCATCAAATAGATTTTGCGTATTGATTTATATTTAGCATGATTTTTGCGTATATAACATTTTTCCTTTGAAAATGTTGATTTGAAATTATGCTTTTTCAACATTTAATTTTTTTCGAATTTTTTAATTAATAAATTATTTGTCTCTAGTACTGACATAAATAATTGAATGATAGATATATTAAAAGTTGAGTAATAATTGGATAAGATAATATTCAAACATATAGTAGTATAGTTATTGTAAAGAAAGCGACATTCGCATAGCTCATCGGTTCACCTCAAAATCATATTGTAAGTTGTGGGTCCAGAGTTCGAAATTTGGGACATAATATTTCGCAAACTAACGTTGAAACCAAATTGCAATAATAAGTTTCGGTTGCTTTCCAGCAACCATGGTCATGGTTGCTGGAAAGCAACCGAAACGTCGGGAATATAAAATAAGTTAATTAAACGCGATAAAATCCGTAAAAATAGTTTTATTCAATACTTCTGTTAGTTCAGTCACGTAGTACTGTTATTTTACTCGTTGGTCTATTGGTTGCAAACGCGACTGATGATCGTGGGGTCCCGGGTTCGAATCCCGGGTCGGGCCCAAAAAATCAGTTATTGAGTTTTTCCGTCGAGAAATTCTCAGTAGCTCTCCGAAGTCAGGAAGTTGGCGGTGTCACATCCCCGTGTCCCGGAAAGCACGTAAAGACGATAGTCCTGCGCCTGAGCTCTTTGGTCGTGTCGGTTTACCGTCCCATCGGACTATGAGAGTGAGGATATAGAGAGTGCACCTGTGCTTGCACTTGGGCACTATAATCCTGTCCTGCTCCGATGGCTGGTCTCCGTTGTGGCCGGCTGCCGTAGTCTAAATTCCGTTTACATTACAATTATTAACTCTGTGCTTCAGGTTGATAGGCTCCCTTCGTTAGTTACTAGTCATATTGTCCATACCGGACACTGATTCTTAATCGAAGATATAGATTTACATATATCAGAGATAGACGCGAAGCTAATAAAAGCGTCTTAAATAAAGCCCATCCGTTGGCGACAGTTGGAGCTCGAGCCAAAGGAGGAGGTGAAGTTCTGCGTGTCGCCGGAGAGCGGTGTAGTTGGCAACACCAGCCCGGAGCAGCAGCACTGCTCGTCGACGACCGCGGCGGCGGCGGGGGGCGCGCGGGACGAGGACTCGCCGCGCCGCTACTGCCTCGTGTGCGGCGACGTCGCCTCCGGCTTCCACTACGGAGTTGCGAGCTGCGAGGCCTGCAAGGCCTTCTTCAAACGGACCATACAGGTGAGTTCACGTCTCGAATAGTATGGTAGGGCTGGACGCACTAACTCTGGAGTGAGGGTACTCCACCTTCTGTCGGATTTCCTGTATCGCATGACCTGGTAAAACTTGCTGGAAATCGATGGTGACTCAGAACCCTGCTTTGTGGTATTCCTTGGGAGAGGCCTTTGTTCAGCAGTGGACTTGTGATTGCAATGATAATGATGGTGATGATGATCGACGCGTACATAAGCTGGGTTGAAGATACCTACAAAATTTCGAAATCATATTATGGCGATTTCCAAAAACCAGTATTATCACATTCAAAATGTTTGTCTAACACTTTGCTACTTACGTAATATCAAAACCAATAAAAGTGAAATATCCGATTTTTGCCAAAATTCATGTTTATAATTGTACTAACTCTGACATTCTAAAATAAGTTTTCGTGGGACCTTTGAACTTGGTGAGAACCTAGAGGTCGTTTTTAAACGTTATTAATTTTAAGTTAAATTTATATAATTTATTAATTAAAAATATATAAGAACAAAAAGATTCGCATTGTAAAAACACCAGCTAACAGCCAAGCCAGCTTTTCAATATACGAATAGTCTTTTTGTATTTAAAATGTTAGCAATTATTATTAGTATCGTATAGCTATAATGTTTAAGTACTCAAACGCTGATTAATTTTAAGATGCTTATAAGTCTCGTGTTGTCTCTATCACTTTACTTCAAAGTGACTGTGACACCACGAGAGATATCTTAAAATTGAGTAGAGTTGAGTAATTTGACCATAAGTTTCCCAAAAGAATTCGTAAAAAAAAAATGATGTAAGATATTTCTTATTTGGGCAGGGCAACATAGAGTACACGTGTCCCGCGTCCAACGAGTGCGAGATCAACAAGCGGCGGCGCAAGGCGTGCCAGGCGTGCCGCTTCCGCAAGTGCCTGCGCACCGGCATGCTGCGCGAGGGCGTGCGCCTGGACCGCGTGCGCGGCGGCCGCCAGAAGTACCGCCGCGCGCCCGACGCGCCCGCGCCGCTCGCGCCGCACGCGCCCCGCCCGCACCTCGACGACATCAAGGTGAGCTGCGCCGCTGCAGCGCCCGGCGCACGCAAACCAACTGACCCAACAGCGGCGCAAGCAACGTGTGCACACACAGCGAGCTGAGCGTTGTAGTGCAAGCGGCCTGCGCACACATAGCGAGGTAAGTGCTATAGCGCTGCAAGCCACCTGCCCGCAAAGAGCGAGGTGAGCGTTGCGGCGGTGCAAGCGGACTGCGCACATATAGCCAGGTGAGCGTTGTATCGCTACAAGTGGCTTCTGCACGCAGCGAAGTGAGCGCTGCAGCGGTGCAAGCGGATTGCGCACAAGCAGAGAGGGTGTGAGTTGCAGCGCTGCAAGAGGCCTGCACACGCACACACACACTCAGCGAGATGAGTACTGCAGCAAAGTGAGCGCCCGTATCTCGATACAGGCAAACTGAGGTGAGCGTCGCAGAGCTGCAAGCAAGATGTACCAACATAATGTCAAGATTCCAGTCAGTACAATCGAGGTGAACTACTGCGCTGTAAAACAGCCCGCACATACGTATCACAATGTGATATGTAGTTCTGGAAGCATGCCTGCACACACATATGAAGGTAAACACTGCTGCAGCGTATGGTTACCCCTAAATCCACGCAACGCCGTTCGTCATAAATCTCACCGGTGCGATACCACTACTGTGCGAAAGAAAAATACATTTAATAAATATTTATTTTCATTTACATTGTTATATTAATAATAGTAATGCAAAAATGAAAATAACGATATTTTTAGAATAGCACTGTTATGACGCTATCATGAAAATTTACATTTACCGATTGGATTTGGTAGTAAACAATGATTTAAACTGGATGTGTCCTTGGCGCGTAGTAATGATGTTTGTTACTTTATCTCTGGTGTGGTGTTTCAATTAATCGAAATTATATGAGATTTCATCCTTTATTTCAGATCCTTGAAGCACTATCATCATATGAACCTGAATTGTTAACGTGCGCAGCGCCACCTGCCGGCGTGACAGATCCAACTGCGAGAACACTAGCTTTACTAGCAGATCTCTACGATAGAGAGCTGGTGGGCGTCATTGGATGGGCCAAACAGATACCCGGATTCACAGATTTACAACTTAACGACCAGGTGTGTAAGGTTCAGAATTTTTGGTATTGATTACATTTGAATTAAATGTTGCATTCACGTTGTTGCCAGTACTATGTCCTTATTTATGCGGCTTAGGGGAATCCATCAGCACATTACACCATTCCGTCTCACGGGTATCCTAAAAGGATACTGTGAAATGCCTTAAACTTCTCCTAGCTTCCAGTATATCTAAATGCCGCTAGTTCAGTCCGGCTCGAAAGACCAAACTATTTATATTTTTTCTCTGAACATTGAAAGAGTATAATTGTATTTATATACTAGCTGTTCCCCGCGACTTCGCCCGCGTGTTAGGGTTTTTGAGTTTTTGCGCGGAACCCTAATTCTTTTTCTAAAATAAAAGCTTAAGTTACTCCTTGTGAAATCAGCTATCTACCAGTGAAAGTCCCATCAAAATCGGTTCAGCCGTTTCGGATTTTAGCCGGAACTAACAGACAGACAGACAAACATTTTTAAAATTGTATTTTAGTTATAAGTACCGTATATTATATTACCGTACATTTACTTTCATATGCATTTAGTAAAAAACTGTAATTTTGACATTACAAACAGACACTTCAATTTTATTTATTTGTATAGATATAGATTATACTGGCTGTTCCCGCAACTTCGTCCGCGTGGAATTTATTACTGCTTTTAATTTTTTACGGAACCCTAATTATTTTTCTAAAATATAAGTAGTCTAAGTTACTCCTCATAACATCAGCTATCTGACAGTGAAAGACCAGTCAAAATCAGTACAGCCGTTTCGGAGATTAGCCGGAATAAGCAGACAGACAGACAGAAGGACAGACGGATAGAAAAAAAAATTTAAATTATATTTTTGTTATAAGTACTGTATACACTTTCATATGCATTTAGTAAAAAGCTATTATTTTGACATGACAAACAGACACTTCAATTTTATTTATTTGTATAGATATATTATAACAAAAGTGAAGCAGTGTGCCAATGCCAAGAGAAAGCCATGCTGGCTAAGGGTGCGTACAGATTAAGTAACATGTTGTGTAACTTTTGTTTTATAACACGTCCATATTATGAAACATTGCTTTTCAACATTGCAACATATAACAATACTACACACATTAGAATAACAATGCAATATAACAATCTTATATGACATTGTCGTTTGTCGTTCTGCCGTTTGAGTTATATAGCATTTGTGTCACGTTATATAACACGTTTTATAACATTCAACCTCCACATTACTGAAACATGTTTTATAACATGTTATGTTATATAATGAATACGCACCGTAAAGCCCACAGCTGCGCATGAACTTCATTTATAGTAAGAAAGATTTACTATAATTGTCATGCTTAGCAGGTAGATTGAGGAACGCAGTACGACGTCTTGCACATTTATCGCAACGTAACCGTCACCGGTTTGATTATTTTACGTCTATCGTAAACGAGAAGGTCAAGGTGCAGGTGCCACTTATCGGATGTCAATATAACTTCGCATTTCTATATATATATATAAGCGAAATACCGCTGACTCACTCATCACGAGATCTCCAAACCTATATGCCCAATTGACTTGAATATTGGCATATATACACCTTTCTCGACGTAAATACCCACTAAGAACGCATTTTGGTTTATATTTGGTTGATATACAATGTAAGCTCAACTATTCCTCTCCCCTTGCATAGATGCGGCTGCTGCAGAGCACGTGGGCGGAGATGCTGAGCCTGATGCTGGCGTACCGCTCGCTGCCGGCCGCCGGGCCCGGCGCGCTGCGCCTGCGCTTCGCCGCGGACCTCGCGCTCGACGAGCAGCAGGCGCGCGACATCGGCGCGCTCGACCTCTACCTGCAGGTACACTGCACACCACACCACTCTACTTGCAGGTACACTGCACACGGCACCGCACTTCCTGCAG